GATGCCAGGAGCCCCTAGTAGCGTCGTTGCTCCTAGTAGCGATGCCAAGAGCCCCTAGTAGCGTCCTTGCTCCTAGTGGCGATGCCAAGGAGCCCCTAGTAGCGTCCTTGCTCCTAGTAAGGCCAGGAGCCCCTAGTAGCAGTCCGGGTGCATGCTTAGGGCTACAAGTTGTCGAGCATGGCTAAGTCATCAATAGTTTGGATGATGATCTCTATGTTTTGGGCGCCATGCATGCTCAACCACTATCGGTGCTGACCTTGGCTCAGATGCACTTGATTTGGTACCGAATCCCAAACACACAAAGTCAATTGTGAAGGCTTCCCCACAGGGTTTCAGGATGGACCATCATGTTCTTTGTTCAGGAAACGTTTGCCCTCACAAGGAGAGAGAGATGCAAAGAGAGAGGGAAAACGAAGCACGCCGGAAGTTGGAGAAGGAGCTGCCGAGAGGGGAGAGGGGTGCCAGTTTACTTTGGGGGTGCCCAATCAGGACTACCATGTGCAATTTCAATTCCTATGCCTACAGAGCAGCTCAGGATTTTGCAGAAAAAGAAAGCTCTTACGATTGTGTGAGTCTTTAGTACTGCAGAAGGCACCTGCCGGAAGGAAACAGTCAAGATCCTGAACTGATTCGGGTCTATCCGGTACTGGTAATGGCCACCAACCTACTAGCGATGGCCTGTAATGCCCTTGTTACTAGTACTTCATGGAGGATTTCCAGGATCCCGGTTGCCAGGAGAAGAGGCTCAAGGCGGCCGAGGATGCGCTCAAACTCCAGGAGGAGGATGACGACTGGTAACACAAAGCTGCAGTCATCGGCACGTGATGACTGCAACGAATGGAAGGGTCAAGATGATCTTGGATTCCGGGATCAATTCAGGATGATGGCAGTTGCCACACTAAGGGAGTCTTGCTGAGTTGCTCAGCATCTTGACTCTCCTAGTGTTAATGTTCCTCCGCAGCTGAGTAGCACGATGTTTCACCAAGTAGCTAGTCCTGTTATTTGCTCGTCGCGGCAGAAGGATGGGAGAATTCGGTTTGTTGAGTCTCTGTTGAATTTGTGGTCTGTCTTCGCCAATCCTCGATAGATAGAGCTGCAGAAAGCTACGGCCTCCAGTGACCCTTGCTGGATGCATCTCAGAATCCAGAAGGTCACAAGATGACAGCCACTCAGTTGAAATGACTCTGCATCCACCGGGGTCAGCGCAATGTTTTCTCCCAACATCAGTCGCGCTGGCAGCCGAAGTTGCTGTGCCAGTGGATGCAGGATGCCCGATGTCAATGACAAGGTCTGGAGATGTCCTTTCAGAAACAAAACATTCTGGTAGCACTTGGATGCTTGAGCTACACTCACCCAATACCACTCTCAATATATCGGAATATATCGGGACAACAGTCTTTCGCCACGTTGTGTTTGCGAGTGGGTTTTGCGAGTATTCTCCGGCGGCCTGCTTTCCTCATGAACATTCAACACGAACAACCCAGTCATTCCATTTACTGCAGAGTCTTTGACTTGCAAGCAAGGCCAGAAGATCACCGTTCACCTTTTGTTTTGCGACAACAGCCTTCCACTGTTGTTGTTTTTCTGTTTGGCATCGGTCTTCTTCTCCCTTCTCCAGATCCTGGAAACTGGGAGTCTGGTGAAGCGATTGAGATGGGGTTCCACAAGAGCAGGAAGATCCATTTGCATCGTTTTTGCGGCCTCTAAGCACGGTAAACTTTCCAAGAGACAAGCGCGGTATGCAAGACTCCTTGCAACCAAAGGGCTTGGCTCCAGGTAGGATCAGACCTTGACTTGTTCGGGAACGATGATGGCTTCAGAGTTTCCTGGAAAGACCTCTATATGGGCCTATTGAATGCCACAGAAGTAGCCTCACCAGAAGCATGGGCCTTAACTGGGTGGATACTTCCTTTGTTGCATCCCTCGATCACTCTCGGCTGCGGACAAAACGGGACGGGCTCGGGAGACAGGAAGTGCGGCAGACCTCGTTCCGTTTCCTTGATTGTTCTTCAAATGTACAAGAAGCGCAGCTCAACCTCTACATGACACAAAGCACCGAGAGAGAGAGAGAGAGAGAGAGAGCGAGCCTAATAGAGATGGCCTCCACCCTAGTAGCGATGGCCTCCAACCCAATAGAGAGAGAGAGAGAGACGGAAGAACACCTTCTCATTTCTATACTTGGAAGTCTAGAGACCCACAGGTCGTCCTGAAGAAATCATTGTTTTGGAGGGGCAAGAGGGTGTATTTATGGTCTCACTTTCGCGCAGGTGGAGCTTTGCGTTGCTTTCGGTGAAGCACTTAGAAGAAGAATCGTAGCATACTTTTGTTCTTTCACCATCACGAAAGTGCAGGTCAAGCTGGCAGCTGTTCTGTGGGTTCAGCTAGTTTCCTGCAATTCTCAGTTTCACAACAGTCCTCGTACCTATCAGATTTGTATTGCCAACTTAAGGTGATCAACAGCGTCCAAGTCTAGGAAAACCCACGGTTTCGTAGGAAGGTTCTTTTGCTATTCTTTGCGCATACGTCCACAAATGCGGGTTTTGTTTTGACGTGTTTTTGCGTCTGCCTTTGCTGGTAAGGGGTCGTCTAGAATGAGTGTTTTCAGATGTTTTCAGTTGTAAGGACATGGAGGCCATCGCTAGTAGGTTGGAGGCCATTGCTTTTAGGTGTAAGGACTAGTGACTGGTGACACGAAGTGATACGTGGCGCCATGCTGCCGTGCAACCGCCAAAACGCGCCAAAAGGCTGAAAACCGTCTGTGCTGAGGGACCTCACCTGGCTTCGCGGGCTGGGTGTGCACCTGGCCTCAGAACGCCCAATGGCCGTGGGAGCGCGGCACCCAGAGAGTCACGTCGGTTGAATTCCGAAAAGATAGGCCCCGTTCGTTTCGTCCTTGTTCCTAGTCGGAGGCGGAGGTAAATAGAATTGGGAGTAACTATAAGCTATAGGTGTAGGTAGTGAGACCTTTGCAGTGGTTTGTTTCGGCAGAAGTGAAGTGGCAGTGGGGGCGGAGCCGAAACGGACTCATTGGTTCCCATGTTTTCTTTTCGAGCAGGGAGTTCGGGGCAGCATGCGTGTGGATGTGCATCCACCGCACCAGTCTCTGTTGAGATGAAACACACTTGCATTGTTTTGTTGCATCATGCCGAGCCTGCAGGTGCTTGGTGTGGACGAGGGTTTGTCATTCCCACAAGGCAAGGCATCAAGTCTTGTGATTTTCCTTTAGGTTGGAGGCCATCGCTAGTGGGTTGGAGGCCATCGCTATTAGGTTGAAGTTAATTGTGTTTTAAGTCTTGTGATGTTGCTTTCCCCCCATTTGGGTGAGCTCAGCGAGCTGTGAGAGAGCCAGTGAGAAGAAGAGCGGTGAAGGGAGCAACAAACAGGAGGGATCTGCTTCATGGGAGGCTTTCTCCCAAAGTCTTGTGGTTGGAACAAGGAAGAACTGGTTTCAACCTGGTCCTTGCAACCCGAAACCTCAAAAGAGCAATGGTTGAAACATGTTGAAACTCCTGTTTCCGAAACATTCGGACGGAGCAAACCGATGGAAGGTGACTCATCCGCGATTCCTTCCATGTCCTCAGCGTTGCAGCTCATGATGGAGGACCTGTCAAGCTGATATTCGACATCCAAGATCCATCCCAGTGGACTCCATCCTATTGAGACCAGTCCAAACTACGCTGAAATACGTCGTGAAATAGAAGAAAGCTGTTTCACCTTTTTGACACCTCCTTTTGACACACTAACCGCAGGTTTGTGGTTTCTGCAAGGGGAACACTGTTTGGAACAAGCATAGCCAGCAGCCAGAGTATCATGTTTTGATGGAACTTGTGACAAAGGACGCTGCTAGGAGCAAAGGGCATCGCTACTAGGAGCAAGGACGCTACTAGGAGCCTTTTACTCAGCTTTGCGTGCACAGGAGCCGGAGCAAACCATCGCACCTGAGGTGCTGAAAGAAGACTAGAACGCAAAAGACAGATGTCCCAACAGTATTGAGCAGTTCACAAGAAGGACTTGAACGTTTGGGGGAGACGTTCGACTTTCATAAATGTTCCTTCACGGTTTAAGTTTGTTTATTTAGGCTGGAGGCCATAGCTATAAGGTTAGACCGGTCGAAGGACCTCACTCGTTTGCAGGTCTTCCTGCCATTGCTGGCGCAGGCACTGTTGAGTCCCGAGCTCACTCGCCAGGCGCATCCTCCACTGAGGGCCGTTGCAATTCGCAACACTGAAAAGATCCTTGGGATTTTTCACGTCTTTCACATCAGAAAGTGGAAGTAGACCAAGTTTCTTTTCCAGCAAGTTTATGTGTTGGACATGTCACTTTGCGTAGAAACTGTCATGGACTATGTCCTTCAGCTGTGAGATATCGCTTGGAATCTGCACAAGGTGCTTCAGCGCTTTTGGCTCCCACGTTTGGCGCGTTTCCTCTCTGAGGTGCATGTTTTTCACAGATGCCCGCGGTCGATTTCGCTGAAATCGATTTCATTTATAAGAAGAGGCCTCCCTAATAACGATTGCCTCCAACCTACTTCCGATGGCCTCCAACCTAATTGCCATGGCCTCCACCCTAATAGCGATGGCCTCCACCCTAATTGCGATGGCCTCCAAACGCCTCAGAGCCTCTAACCTATTCCAACCTACTACTGATGGCCTCCAACCTAGCGATGGCCTCCAAACTTAATAGCGATATCATAAACAAGAATCAAAATTTATGACTTCAAATTCACAGGAGACGAAGACAACTGCAACTCCTTGTTTTGCCGACCTCGTCACCGCCGCATCCGCTGAACTTCACTACTCAGGGCCCCTTCTTGGTAGTCAACACAGCGGTGAAAGCCTTCCAGAAGCTCTTGCTAAAAGAGGACGGGATGTGTCTCGCCATGCTGCCAAGCTGCCTCAGCTGCTGCAAAATTGCTGCAAAGCTTGCCAAAACTTTGAGGCGACATGGCAAATGACTTGGGCCTCATGCAGAAGTGGTTGTTTGTTATAGTTTTGGCCTCACCCTCCCAAAAGCTACAGATTCATGTGACCCTGCATATAATTAATTGTGCACAAATCCTACAGATTTAGTTATGTTTGTCTTTATTTCTATTTTCCACTGTTTATTTTTCTTTAGACCTTTTGACCTTTCTGCTTGTCCCCTTCCTTCAAGTAAAAAGGCTTTCTCAAAGTGTTTGGGTTTAGTAGCAGGATGTCCTCACTGGATTTGTCTCACCGCAGAGCGCTGCAGATGCGGCATGGTCTCCCAGCTTCGCAGCTTTGAGGAAGGCATGTGTTAACACATGGGAAGGTACCGCCCAGTAGCTGGCCAGACAGGTGTGGCGATACATGAATGATGCATCATGATGCGGATAGTGACTGATAGTGCTGCTTAGGCGTGCTTAGGGTGGTACCCATGATCCAGCTCTCTTCCAGACATGACTTATGCGAGGCCTTCGATGCTTGATCCTGGATGATCTGCTACCATAAAATACCATAAATCTGTAAGGATTGCGATCAACCACTTCGGATTTTGGAGATTCTACGATGAGAGGGTGGGTGCACGTGCTCCTTGCTGAGGCGACCCTACTGTTAGCCTTGGTGGCCCATAGCAGGCTGTTTCGGGGTGAGCTCAGTGGGGTCCAAAAGACTCATGGTGGGAGTTGCCCATTCAACCTGGGTAGCCCGAAGAGGAATCAACTCCTAAGGCCATTGATCAGACTAGACCAAGACTCAGGCTAGATCGGCCCAGAAGTGCCTGCAGTGAGTACTAATACACTGTCATAAAGCAGATGATGCCCTGCAGGTTGCACGTCTTGAATTGCCGAAATCTTCCTATTGGGTTGGAGGCCATCGCTCTTAGGTTGGAGGCGATCGCTACTAGGATCTATTAGGTGTTATTTTCTTTGTACCTTGCAGTCAGGCAAGCAGCCAAAGTAGAGCCTTCGCTAGCAGAAGGCTTGTTAGTCGCGGACTCAGTGGACGACACTGCAAATGCTGCGGTCTTCCTGATGATAGGTGCTATAGGCTTTATTCCTTCAACAGCAGTAAGAAGATGGAAGAGCGATGCTTTTGATTGGACAAAGCTCCATCAAGTTCGTATTGTGTCCGAGTGCTGATTCTCCTTGGACCATTTGACCAAGTAAGGCACGCATGCTGGGCAAGACGGGCAGCGGGTTTGCCTGTCGACTTTGCTATGCTGGCAGAAGCCGTCGATTTGTTTGTTTTGTCTCAGTGAAATCTTCAGGTTATTTATTTGATTTCTTCTGCAGGTGTCCTCTCAGCTATGCACAAGAAAGTGAAAGAACTAACAAGTGAAAGACAGTCCAGATTCAACGGAATGGTCAGAGTTGCTTCATACTACTTAGTTGAAAAAGTCTATGATAGCCAGGACTACTTTCCTTGGCTTGTGAACATGATTCGGAATGAAATGTGAGCACCACCAGCAGAGCAGCTACTCAACATCCTCAACCGCTTCAGACTGGATAATAGTTTCCTTTTCTGGCGTCTTCGTCTGAGATGTCGGCTGGAGTCTCAGACTGTTTTGGAACACGTGAATACTGAAGAGGTGCAAGGAGCATCAAGGACCAGTGCATAGGAAAGCGGGATGCTACCCATTACATAGCTGAGCTACTCATAGACTCACAGACTCATAGCTGATGTTAATATCATGCATCGCTTCGCTTCAGTTCTATATTCTTGCCGAGGACCAAGCTGCCCGATGGCGGCAAAACTTCCAAAAGGCACGCGCTACGGCTACGCAGGCGATTGGGGTTGCATGTCGCGCTCAACTTTTTCCTCTTCGTGTTGAACAATGTAAAGTATATACAATGTACGTACCAGTACTGCATCTTAATGCATCCTCCCTTCCACACCTTGCAACTCTGGAGCAGGGTAAGTGTTCTTCAGTGATCGGCCCATCAGTTTTCAGGTCCAGGGAGAGCTCCAAAAGCTGGAGCTCCTGGGCACCGACGCGGCCTCACGGAGTGAACGCGCCAAGATGAGCGCGACCATCCGAGGGAAGGCGAGGGGCGCTCCGCCCGGAGTCGGAATTCCTCACAGTCAGAGCTAAGAGGGCGAAATTTGGTCCTAAATTTTGGCATAACTTTTGACAATGACAAACCGTTTTCAGTTGGGTCTCTTTCCAACCCTTTGAAGCCTGCACGCGGAACAAGAACGCGCTCCACCACCCGGATGAAGGCGAGCCAATTGAAGATCGAGCTCGATCAGTTGCAGCGTGGGCTCGAGAGTCTGGGCCGCCAAGGTGGATGTTGGATGTCCAAAACCTCTCAACTCCATCCAAACAACTCTTGGTTTCTGTTTATGAAAAAACAATCAGACAACTTGTGACAGCTTCCAGATGAGAAGTGTCGCAAAGAAAGCGCATGCCGAGGTCTGAGCAGCAACAGTGCGGAGAATGAGGCCTCGTCGTGCTTCGGTGCTCTTGACTGGTTCCAAAGCACATCCAACGCTTTCTTCCAGGGATGTGAGCGATGCAGAAGCTTCTTTTGGGAACTCCAGACCATCTCAAGACCTTTTAGAGATTGAAAGCCGTTGGAGGCATGTTTGCTTGGGTACACAATGTTCCTGTTGGCCTTGTACTTTCTGTATCCTTCTGTCATGTTGCAGCAGTGACAAGCAGATTCAAGCCAGTTTTAGCAGAACGAGACTTCCACACATGAAGAACACACCATCTAAAGCTTTATTTTTCAGCTCACAAACATGTTGCTATGCCCTCCTAGGTGACCCGCAAGTCCATCACTCAATTCAGAGATGAGCTTGCACAGGCCACCTCTCCGCACGGACCGGTCAAAAGCTTGAATCAAATCATCACAGGACTTCAGGAAGAAGTTCAGGATGTCTTTATGCCGTTCTTTTTCGAGAACTCTTTGGAAATCGCCAGGCCATCGCGGAGCAGCAAGAGATCCAGAAGCGCTTGCGACCCTCCGCTGCACCGGAGACCAACGGTCAGGGGCACCCGGTCACGCCGGAATCGCACTGTGCGTCCACTGGGTTTGATGAACCAAATTGGGCTAGGAAAATAAACACTCTTCATATCTCTTCATTGTCAATGGTAGACTGGAGACAGTTTTTTGTATTTCCTTGTTAACAAGAGTCACGTGTCACCCACTTTGACAGAATTCTTGATGCTCTTTTGACACGATATTCTTGATGTCTACCCTTTTGGCAACGGATTTTCACATGACTTCTTCCACACGGCCTCGAGGCGGAGCTCGCCCCGATCGAGGCACTGGCATCGAGAACGGGTGCAAGGGTCGCATTTCGACAGTTAGGTTCCCTTTGTCGAAGGATTCTGCACATACTAATAGCATCTAATAGCAATGGCCTCCAACCTAATCACATCCTTACAGAATCCGTTGGACAAGAGAATCCAGACCCACTACAGTAGTATCTGGATGAAGGAGCCATCATGAAAAAAGTGTAGCCTGCTCTTGGCACCAGCAGATGCAGATCATGCGATGTTGGGTTGAAGGTAGACTCTGCTGATGCTGTTGTTCTAAACCAGCTGCTTTGCAAAGCATGCCAGGTGCAGAAATGCAACCAGCCACTCGGCAAGTTCAGAGAGGTCACCAGGAATGCGTGAGTTGGTTGAGTCGCTTCACATTATGGCCGGCGCATCGTTAGCCAGTTCAACAGGCATTTCTTGAGTCTTTTCAGAAAGCCTTTTCGCTTGTTTCCCCAAAGGTGGAATCGTCCCATGGCAGCAAGTGCCGGCAAGTACCTCTTTGAAGAACGGCCATTCTTTTGGAAGGACAGCGCTGTCAATCCTGATAGGAAACAGAAACAGCTGGAAGAACTACTGACGTTTGTTTGGATGCTGAACCGGCAATGCCAAGGTCTCACAGCGGCAAATGCTGGATCGACAGCAGCAGATGATGAGGCTAGGAAACACATCTGAACAGATACGAAGTTCTACGACATTATTCCGTTCCATGTCTGACTCGCGCTACACAGATGTCATTGAAACACACTAAGGGTGCTACTGGCTAGGGGTGCCTCTATGCAGGTAGATAGTGCTTTGTCATGCTTTGTGGACGAATTTAACAAGAGTTCTTTTCGAGCTTGAAGTCAAAAGTAATTTCCTTTTTTGCACAAAACAGACCATCCTAGATCGCAAGTTCCATCCCAAATGCCAGCAACAGCGGCAGGGAGATGGATGCACCACTGGCAGCCTTGGAGGGTTCTGTGAACAACCTCCAGCAGGTGGGGAGGATCCTTGTAGGACCAGTCTTACTAGTAGCGTCCTTGCTCTTAGGAGGGGGGGGGGCGGGCTAAAAAATAAAGAAAGAATAGTAGCTCCATTGTTCCTAGTAGTAAGGCCAGGAGCCCCCCTAGTAGCGTCCTGTTGCTGGAAGTAGTTGGAGCTTCCACAGGATTCGGAAACCTCTCACTAAAACTAAGAAGTAGCTCCATGCATTGACTGGGATTCGAGTCAATGCAAAGCCGTGAGAAGTGTATGGGCCATGGGCCGTTTTGCACAACTGGTGAAGTGTAGGAGAACCACAGTTGTGCTTGCTCATGTTTTGGGATCCATGGAATTGACTCCACTTCATTATTCAAATCTGTCAAAACACGACCAGACATGACATAGGTCAGTTACACCATCCGAAATGAGATCTCCATGCAGAATCGGCTCTTGGACAGCACCAATCAGGCTGGCTGAGCTGTGACAGGAAACCACGTTCACCTTGGAATACTATGTGGGCTGGGATTTATGTTAGGTTTCTCCCTAAAAATCTACGAACCAAATGATTGGTGCGTGAGCTATCCTGCGTCCTACCTAGAAGCTATATAACTTAGCCTAGTAGCGAACTACTCCCTTACCTAATAAAGTAGGCTCCTAGTTAATTAAGTTGGGAGGCAGGGTCTTGGGCTTAAAAATAATCTTGGCTGAGAATGAATGAGTGGGTTGAAGCTATTAGGTTGGAGGCCATCGCTATTTGGGTGGAGGCCATCGCTAGTAGGTTGGAGGCAATCGCTATTAGTAGCTCAAATGAAGTTGTTTTTAAGACTAATTTAATCCGTGGGTTGAAGCCGCCAAGATCGGTTTTGGAGGCTGCTGACCGCACCTCTTCTCGCCTGAATCGAGTTCGCTCGTCAGGGACCTAGTGTACAAGCAAAGGCCTCTTTCCGAACTTTTGGCAACAAAGGCCCTAGCATCTGACTAAAATCGGACCGAAGCACCCTTACGAATTTACTGCTAAGCTGAGGGAATGGATCAAGGTAGGACCGACTCACGGCTCGCTGCTTGTCACTTTTAACGATCGGCATCGGGTCGAGGTTGTTTACTCGTTTCCAGCGCCTGGACCAAAATCGCTGTTTGGGCCTTTCGGTTGGGGAGCCCAGAGAATGGTTACTCTGTTGTGATGGTTCTTGTGTATTGTGAACTCAGATGTGCCATGACTAGCCGTTCTCGTTCCAATTTTGTTTTGACACCATGAAACAAGTCTGAACGCGACTGGATGGATATTGGACTGACCGACCGCAGCAAACCGCAAAAGATCACTGAATATTAGAAATGCACGCAGTGGCACGCAGCCGAACTGACATGCAAATCTGCATAGCTCTGCTGGCAGCATATCCAACCTCTATACTATATGTTTTTTGCTTTGCCACAACCAAATCAAGTATTATGTCATTTTGGCTTTCACGCCTTCTGGGGGCTGCGACCGCTCGCTTCAAAAATATATATATATATATATATTTATGTGAATTATTAGCATATCAAAACCTGAGATCGTCTGGAAAAGCTCTCACAAGGCTTTTCGATGAAATCGATACTATTTTATTAACCAGATGGGCAGCTTAAGTTGCAAGGATGAGCTTTAACTTTGTTCCGGATACCGTACATCATCCCCCACTACAGTTACACTTGAAGCCTAAGCTCCCAAGGTGGTCCTCCTCTTCCTTTGCTTGGTGGTGCTTTTCATTTACGTCGTGCTGCCGTAGGGATGAGCTACAAGTCGAGCATGGTTGGTGGTCAACCCGAGGCTCCATTGAAGCGGAAGCGGTGAACCGTAGATGTTTTCAGTGAGCTTCTCTGAAAAAGAAACAACATATTGTGCCAACAGAGAGCACAGCTGTTATGGAACACAGCATGGTGATCCTTTGTGGAAGGGTTTGACCACCAACCTTTCGCATGGCTGGTGGTTCCTTGAGGCGGCATATGCATAGCACCGCCTCCGCCAGAGTCTGTGCAGATGCCAAGCATAGCACAGGTGCTTGGTTCGTGCCTTTAAGGCATGGCTAGTGCGGCTGGTGCGTCAAGACAACATATCAACATCAACTAATGACGAGCTCTTGTGGACTCTTTCCCCTTACCACTCCTTTTCCTTTAATGTTGTTTCACTTTTCTTGAGATACTAGTTGAGTTGATTGTCTTTTTACTCAGTCCTCCAGCAGCAATGAGCAGCAATGTATGTGGTGTGTTTTCTGTCCCATGCCGCAAAACGCTCCGGTTGCTGCACTGAAGAGTGTCGCTAGAGCAGCACAAGAAAAGCCAGGCAAAAGAGATTGCTTTTACGGCAGCGAAAGCCGAAAATACATGTCAGGCATTCTCAGGACTTTGCACTTTCGCCTCCGCAGAGCGCTGTGAACAACGACAACCATACAATTAACCTCCATTGTTTGAGTTGTACTTTAGCCGCCAGGCAGCAGGTGCAGATTATGGCCTGCGAAGTGGCCTTGGCCAGTTGCTTTTTAGAAGACTGTGCTTTGTGCTTTGCTGATATTTTCATGCAGTAAGTTTCTTTCTGTGCTTTTTGGATGCAAGTCACCCCCTCCTTGAAAAGCACCACTTCAAAACTCACTGGACTTTGTAGACACGCTATTGGCTTGTTCACAAAGCTCACAGTGTGAACGCACGATTTGCCAGGTCTTCGCGATCACACTCCATTTGTGGCAAGACGACCTCAAGAAGGCTCTGCCAAAACGAGGCCGGAAATGACTGAGCTATGGAAGTCCAACAGAAGCAAATGACAACATGTGTGATGCTTTTCGGCGTGTCAACCAGTTGGGGGTTGATTTGGGTCGATTGAGACATTTTTGTGCAAGAAGAACGCTACTAGGAACAAAGGGCATCGCTACTAGGAGCAAGGACGCTACTAGTAGCTCCTGGCCTTACTACTAGGAACACGCACGCCTACTAGGAACAGTTTCTTCGAGTGTTGCTTGTGAGGGCAAACCTCAAAGCCTCAGGACGGGAACGGATTGAGGGCTAAGGTTTAGGACGTCAATCTTAGGATCCTGTCTATATCCTTCGCCACAGTGCCCACATACCTATAAAGCCTATAAGCTCAATTAAGCTCACTTATATAAGGATCCCATTTGTCGCGTTTTTTCACATTCATGACGTCTATTGAGCAAGATTTTCCTGGAAAGCTTGGAGTCCAATGTTTTATTCAATTCAGTTCCTGCTCGAATATAGTTTGATGAGATGTCAGTCGGAAGGAGGACAACGAGGCCTTGGAGAGGTTGGCACTTCAGGCCTTGGCCCTCTACCAGGCACTTCTGTTGCGGTCGAAACGACAACAACAGCCGAACGGCCGCTCAAACGTTTTGTTCAAGGGGAAGTCGAATGGTCTTGTTACAAAGCCTGTTTGGTTCTTCTGACATGTCGCAGGTAGCGCTATGTATGTTTTGCACATGCTACCCGTCAGGTGATAGATGCTAGACCGTCACGTCAGAAGATAAGTTTGATGTTTAAGTTGTCCAATCAAATGACGAAGCCAAGAGATGCAGTTTCATCGCTGAAGAAAGCAAAACCTTGGAACAATTGGCCCAGGAATTTTTCACTAAAGACATTTCGCTACTAGGGGCTCCTGGCCTTACTACTAGGAGCAAGGACGCTACCAGGGGCTCCTGGCATCGCTACTAGGAGCAAGGGCACTACTAGTAGCTTCATTTCGCCATGTAACTTCACAATACTTCACACCGTTTTGGCCGAGGAGCCTCACATGGCGGGTGCAGCGTCAGCACTGTTGCTGCAGGCAGACACGTCAAGCTTCGCTGCTAAACACCTGAAAGGATCACGTTGTTATTACATCAAATTTTCATGTTCAGAACCATTTGACCTGTTCGCACATTCGCACTCAAATATTGAACAGTATTGGATTCCAAAGAGTTGAAAGGGGATACTTGCTGGGTTGCTGTTTTTTTGCTTTTATCCGATGTTGTTTTAATTCCTAATTAACTGGAGTTCCAGGTCGGCAATACTGATGCTGCTGCTTTATTGCAAGTGATGAGCAAGGCACGACGTATCAACAATTGCTTTTGGAAATTGCCGGTATTCGGAATCAACATGTTTTACTCATGTTTTAGCCCGTTCCTACTTAATGAAGTAGCCGCCTACTTAATTAAGTAAGGGCGACTAGTAAGCTACTAGCCACACAAGCTTCTAGAAACTGGACGCATGATGAGCGCCTTGAAGGAAGCTCCCCCCACCTGAGGGTGGGGGGCTTTCATGAAGAAGCGCTTGCACCAATGATTTGGTTCCTAGATGTTTAGGGAACCTTTTGGCAAGTCAATGTTGCTAATTTCCCAACACAGGCAGCGGTGCGGGTGGATATCAGTCCTGCCTATGCGTTGGGGAGTCAGAGAAAGCAGAGACTCCATTTGTGGATGGGATTGATTTAAGTAGTAACAGGTGCCACGCTAGTAGTAACAGGTGCCTTACTAGTAGTAACAATGTTTGCTATTAGTAACAAGTGCTTTTAGTTTATTGTTTGTGGAGAAATACAGTTGTCGATGGATTTTCCATGGTTTCCGGCAATTGCAGCCCACAAGAACGCATGGGTTTGGATCGAATATTTGGAACCAATTCTTAAGAAGCCAGAGAAAACAAGAGACAGAGACTCAACCAGGCAAACAGCTCCAGTTCTTTTTCTACATCATCATCCTTTTTTATTTCCATGATGTAGCACAAGGTAATGCTGGACGGCGACGTCATGACATATTTGGGACCACACGTAAAACCTTCCTACCACAAGGACGCTACGAACGGGGCTGGCCTTACTAGGAGCAAGAAGCAATCGGACGGCAGCGATCGGACGCGTCACCCGATGCCGAGGTCCTCGGCGTTGCTGATCCTTCAGCTCTTCGTCCAACGGGCACCCGAGAAGGCCGTTCGATCGTTCGTGGCCGGCTCCATCGCTAGTAGTAACAAGTGCATCGCTTCTAGTAACAAGTGCCTTACTAGTAGTAACAAGAAGCTACTAGTAACAAGTGCATCGCTTCTAGTAACAAGTGCCTTACTAGTAGTAACAAGAAGCTACTAGTAACAAGTGCCAAGCTAGTAGTAATAACAGGTGGCACCGAAATCGTTCGACGTGCCGGTGTCGCGTCCTCATTTCCATGAATTCCATGTATGATGAGGTCCTACCATCGAATGGTTTTTGTGTTTGGAACCAGGAGGGCTCTCAATGGACCATTACCTCTCCTGTGGTCAGGTTTGTCCTCTACTTCCCCGCTTCGCAGAGGCAAGGCCGTTTCAAGCAGTTCAAATTTAATTTTCTTGCCTAGACTGGGATTCTAGCTCAATCTGTGTCGCCGCAGAATAGGAAAAGCAGATAACGAAGCAGACTGCAGTCGCGAAGTTGTGGTGAAATGGTCAAAACGCGTAGGATCGAGGAAAGCATAGGCTTGACCCAAGCACTCAGAAAGCCCCATGCGGTACATGGCATCACACTCACTTGACACTCACTGGCACCCCAATCAAACAAACGATTTGGTGCAAGGTTTAAAAAGAACCTTTTCGGTCTTGGAGTCTTTCACTTTACTGAGCTTTAGGCTTTAGGCTCATATACAATTATCTAACAATACCAATAGCAAGAGTCTCAGATTTCTCTCCCACGAAGCATCGAGGCATTGTTGCGGTGCTTGGAGCCTTCAGACCCAACGTTGCGGCGCCACAGGCGCCTTTGTTGTCCCTGTTCAGTGAGACGTCTGAAATGTTCATCGAGTCCATTATGCTTTTCGCATGCAAAATATGTTCATAGCAAGAATGTTCACAACAAGGCCTTGCATATCAGAGGTGAACCAAAAAGAAAAGCGGCTGCTTTCTGCGCCAGTCTTCTCGCGGTGACCAGCGCCCTGCATGAGCTTGTGCAGACCTTCCCCATGGTCGATCCTTGGTTTCGGGACGATGTGTGTCGGATTCAACGACTGAACGTCATCTCGTTCTTTTTGGAAACTACGGAAACTACGTGTTTTTTCAACATGTGTGAGGGACATTGGTTATGTTGTTCTTCGACTGGTGTTGAAGGGCCACGGTTTAAGAATGCTTGTGTGTGTGTGTGCGTGTATGAGTGTGAGTTTGTCTTGTGTGTGCGCGTGTGTGCGTGTGTGCGCGCGTGTGTGCGTGTGTGTGCGCGTGTGTGCGTGTGTAAACAGTCTGTTCATGTGTCCATTTGAGTGCCCAAGGACTTTCATCAAGACAGCCAGAAGCCACTTGGTAGACATGTGACCATCAAGATGTTGTAGCCGCCAGTTCTCAATCACATCCTACTTGCTGTCGAGCCAGCGTCAAATTTGTACGATCATTGATAGATAGTAAAACTCACGCGCTTAAGACAAAAACGGCACAACTCGTTGCTTGATTATCTCTCAAACTCGAAAAGGCATGGATATTGCTCGGTGCCCCGTAGAATAAATCCATGAATTTGTTGTTTTGACTCTGACCTGTCATGGCCTCTAGAGGTTTGCAGTCGGCACGGGCGACGGCGTGGTCCTGGTCTACGACCTCCGAACGGCCACGAAGTGGCGGGTCTTCGAGGCCATTCGTTCTGAATTTGTTACTTCCCTTTGGTGTCGAAAGGAAGGACCTGGCTTTTGCGGTTATGGTTTTGGGAGCTTGGTAGCATTGTGTCGCATCAAAGGATTTTCTGCAAAGGCACCATATCATACGAGCATGTTGGTTAGTTTGGAGCCAGCCCAAATTGAGGCGTATGTCGGACGTAATTACAGCCCACAACATCCTTAGTACCACTGAGTTGATGAAGCGTGGTTGACTGTCAGGAATCACCAAAAGAGATCCGTCCAAAAGTCTTGGAACCAAAAGCTTTACATCGGTAGGTCATACATTGAGCATACATGCATTCATTGAAAACCGATGAGGAAAACCCAAGACCGATGCTTTTGTATCATACATAAGTACATACGTACGTACATACTACTATACTACTACTACTACTACTACTACTACTACTACTACTACTACTACTACTTCTCCTGCTACTAGTACTACTACTACTGCTACTACTACTACTACTACTGCTCCTACTCCTGCTCCTGCTACTACTACTACTACTACCACCACCACCACTACTACTACGACTACGACTACGACGACTACTACTACTACGACTACTACGTACTACTACGTACTACGTACTACTGGTACGTACTACTACGACCACTACCACTACCACTACCACTACCACTACCACTACCACTACCACCACTATGACGACGACGACGACGACTACTACTACTACGACCACTACCACTACCACTACCACTACCAGTACCACTACCACTACCACTATGACGACGACGACGACGACGACGACGGCGACGACTACTACTACGACCACTACCACTACCACTACCACTACCAGTACCACTACCAGTACCACTACCACTATGACGACGACGACGACGACTACTACTACGACGACGACGACTACTACTACTGGCAAGTCTTTTGTTTTTCACCAACGTGTATAGACCGATGCCTTACCGATGCCCTAACCGATGCCGCGGAGTGACTTCCAGACACCGGATCAAGGGACATGCCCACTCGAGAGCAGATTTTAGGGTTCAAATGACATGCCCAAGCGAAAGGAACTAGCAGCTGCATATATATATATATATGTGTGTGAGGTCCTTGAACTTGTGAAAAGTTGTATGCTCTGCTGTGCGTTGCTTCGCCATGTCCATGACTATACTTTTGCTTGGAAACATACGGAATGTTAGTGAGATTCACCAAACATTGGAAACCGATGAGGAAAACCCAAGCCCGATGCCCTGATGACCGCACCCAGATGTAGGGAATTTCGACAGTCGAACGGATCATTCGATCAGTTGATCTCATTCTTCCAGGGTCACAGTGGCACGGTCGCCGGCTTGGCCTTCACCGAAGACGCTGCACGGTTGGCATCGTCCTGAAGCTCAGAATTGATTATTTGGTTAGGTGGTTGGCCTCGCATCGCGTGCGTACGGTTCCTGGATTTGCAAAGTTAAGTTATTGCAATAGCCGAGCGCATCACCCTAAGAACACAACACCTGCGTCATCACCTCTGTCAGGAAGAAATTGCATAAAGGAGCAACGAACAGAGAGATTTTGGAATCTATGTTTGCAGGTATGGAAGCCAAGACTCCACCGTGCGTTTGTGGCAGACTGGAGGAGGTTGGCTTCAGAGGAGAGTCTTCCTTCGCATTGTGATCGTAAAGACAGAATTAGCCTACATCATCTCACAACTCGAGCAATCTCTATGAAGCTTGATTACATTATTTTGAGCTGGAAGAGTGGCCTCTCCATCGTAGCCATAGAGTCAGTTTCTGTGACTAGTAGGAGGCCATTGCTATTAGGTTGGAGGCCATCGCTATATAGGTTGGAGGTTGAACACAAATCTTGAGTCAGTTTCTTTTCCACGGAGGCTTTCTTGGCCTCATGGGTCAGAACCACCGGTGCATCCGCCAACATACTTTGCCACCGCTGCATGGCACTGGAGATTGGAGGCGAACATGTTTGAAGGTTTGGAGTTTGGAGGGATTGATTCCACATCAAAAGAATCGATATGTCAACTACCTAGCGGAACAAGAGACATCCGTCAGCTAGTCGTGGTCAAACACCCAACACGACCGCCAGGGCTGTCTCCCTCCGGTGCTCCGAGCGGGGTGTGAAGCTGGTTCGGGAGAATGGCCGCTCAGAGGCAAACAGAGAGTCGCGAACATTGCTCCTAGTAGTACGGCCAGGAGACCCTAGTAGCTTCTTGTTCCTAGTAGCGATGCCAGGAGCCCCTAGTAACGTCCTTGCTCCTGGTAGCGATGCCAGGAGCCCCTAGCAGTCGCTCCTTTCTCCGAAGTCAATGCAATTCAGGTGACATGCTTCACCTTGGCCTGGGATGAGTGCGACGGTCTGCTCCCCAGACGTTCGCTTATTCCTTCTTATGTTTTGGGATTTAGGAATAGTATTTTGGATACATTGCTTCTGTTGTACCGACGTTATTGACTTCGAATAAACGATCCAACGGTGACTGGAATTGCATTGAAGGTCGGTAGTAGTCACAGACGAGGAGGATTGAGGTGAGGGTTAGTATGTTACTCACTAGGAGCAAGGACGCTACTAGGGGCTCCAAGTGTGATGTCACCGGACGATCGACTACTTACCCATGATGAGGTTCAGAAAGACATCAGTTTTGCATCAGATCCCATTCAACTCCACTACGGCCCGTGGCATGTCCAGGACTCTCAAAGTTGCTGTTGATGTATCGACTTGGGACTTCATCTTAACTTTGCATATTGTAGACTGCACTCTTGATTCCATTAGCAATGTGGATGAAGGAAATGATGCCTGTTCTGTCGGAAACTCAGAGTAGCGTCACCCGGGATTCTAGTCGTACCTCATTTAAGCACTTCAAGTCATTGACCTTGGGCAATCTTGAGGTTTTAAACCGCCTTAAGCTTAACATATGGAATTATTGTAGATGGTGGACTTGGTGCTACGTTTGCAGGAAAGCAACTACAATTACAATAGATGGATTCGCCACGGCTTCTTTGGATTCGGACGAACTTTAGACTGGCTCTGAGGTGACCGCGGCCAGCAACATTGGAAGCGCCCACTGGCCCACAGTAGAGGGACGATGACAACTTGGATGTAGAAATCGTTGATATATACCTTTGCTCCTAATAGCTTCTTGCCACTAGTAGTAAGGCCAGGAGCTACTAGTAGCTTCTTGCTACTAGCAGTGATGCCCTTTGCTCCTAGTAGCTTCTTGTTCCTAGTATACCGTATACCTGGTTTAGCAATGTCAGACCATGGAAGCTACAGTCTAGAACGGCGTCGTGGCATCGATGGGAAGGGCACGATGATTGCAACTCTGACACCAAGGTGTCGCAACTCTCGGACACCAAGGGCAGCATGCTGGTTGGGATCTTGGTGTCGCTCTGACGTATGGTGACCTATGTTGACATATGACGTGAAGATCAGAACCTGAAAGATACGCTGAACAGGATCTCCCAAGATGAACCAAACATGAATGAGGGGATGATGGAACAAGTTCCCTTGCATTCAACATTAGTGTAACAGTGTGAACTCTTGTGTTGAGCGTCAGGTCGTTCCTTTTGATACTCAGGTGAACAGGAACTTTTGCTTAACCCTGGATGAAGCCAGTACACTGCATCATTCCCACCAGGCGATTTCATATGATTTCATAGGTTCTTCCTTTTGCAGTAGGGTCTTCGCTACTAGTGGAGGCCATCGCCAGTAGGTTGGAGGCCATTGCAATTAGTAAGTAAGAGGTGGTAGCTAATACATAGCTAGTAGGGTCTTTGGAAATTGTCCAAGACCTAAACTGGCGTCGTTTTCTACTGGCCACATTGGTCATCGTCGCACTAGCTTCACAGCCTCCTCCACCAAGTCAAAGCAGCTTTCGGCTTTCTCCGCGCCGTCCAGGACTCGGTGGACATAGGGACCCTAGCGATGACTTCGGCGGAAACACTGTGTCGGACCTTTGTCTTGTCGTAGTGGAGACTTGGAAAGACATGAACAACATATTGTTCTGGGCAGGAAGGGTGTGAAGGATAAGGGATCAGGGGAACACCGGCGTACCTCATCTTTTGGTAGCACAAAGTTGCTAGGATGAGTAGGAAATCAAATCGAGACATTCTTCTGCATTCGCAGAAAATAAAGGATTGATGTCACTGCAGATGGCCTTTGGGTCTTAGAAAAGCATTACATCATGTCAGAAAAGCATTCCTTGAAGAGCTGCCAAGGCCGCGGTACCGCAACAGTGGTGCGTTTGTTCACGGGACGAAGTTTCGAAACTTTGCATCCATCATGGAACAAGGACTGAAAGGAACGGGGGATGGCGGCCATTGCTAGGTTGGATCAAGGAAACGTGAGTTGTGAGGATTGCTTGACAGAGTCTGTAGATGTAGGATGTTTTTCCATCAACACTAGCAGTAGTAGTGCAGGTTTCTGACTGGGGAAGGTGCTCTCTACGAGTGAGTGGTCTACGCAACCTATTTGATTCTGTAAGAGGACTTGTTTGCACAGTGATTCTATTTCTCGTGTAAGACTTGGAATTTAGTTTGATTAATTTAGTTTGATTTGTCCAACTTGGTATTCCAAGACAGGTTTCATGGGTCTTTGTGATCTGGCAAGACTAGGCAAATGGTACTTGCTCTGGCAAGACCCTTTCACAAGGGCAAAGGGGAGTCCAGTGGAAAAGCAAAGAGTTTTGAATTGCTAGGACTGAAGGCTGCTAAAAGTGAGATCTACATGGTTGACGATGTGCGGCCTGATGGCAGGGCCAGGTGCTCAGGCAGGTTTTGTACTCACCAAGACTGGTAGCCCATGGACAAAACTATTGAAATCACATGTTCCATGGGTCAAGTCTCTTTCACTTTAACTTACATATTATATATAGTTTTGTTATGTGCTTGTTGTGTTTTTTTTGGGGGTAAGCCTTAGTGGCTTATAATAATATATATATAGATGTATAAGTAAGTAAGAATGGTAGCTACTAAGCTTAAGTAAAAGTAGCTACTGATATGGATGGATCCAAGCTTACGCAGTGGAGCTTCCTTAAAGAATCACTTTCACTATTCATTGGGTTCCTAATTTGTTTGGGAAACATGATCCAACGACTTGTGCAAGACTGTGGGGAGCTGGCGCTAAGAGTGGATCCGGACTGTCGTCCTGTTGGTCGCTGTGGATCACGGCACAAACGAGGTTCCTGGACTGAAGCAAGCACCAGAGATCTTGATTTTTATCGATGAGGACAAGGCACTCAATGCATGGGCCATGCCATGAGTCATTGATACGATTTTCCCTAGTAGCGTCCTTGCTCCTAGTAACGATGCCAGGAGCCCCTAGTAGCTTCTTGTTCCTAGTAGCGATGCCAGGAGCCCCTAGTAGTGTCCTTGCTTTTAGTAGCGATTCCTTCACATTGAACATTTTTTGTTGAACCTCTTGCTTTTCTTGTGTGGAGAGGGTAGTCCATTCTCACCCAAGAAGTCCATACGGCCAGAAGTATGGAACCAATAGAATCTATATGATCAAAGGCTTCTGCATTCCATACTATCTACCCAACATGGGATCCAAATCACCATCGTTGCAGGCACGGAAAGAGCACATGCACTTCGAGTATGATGCACTTGACCAAGAACTCTTCAATTGGATGGAATGCAGAACATTGCAGAACTGCTTCATACTGAGCAAAACTGAGAATTTGTTCCAAGGCCAGGGAAGGCACTTGGAAGACAAGAGGTATTGACGGAGTGTCCTTGCCTCAGACTGCTGTAGAGGGAAGTCCAAACCGCGATGCTTTGGACCCAGAGTCGTGTCTTTCACCAATCGGAATCTCCCAGATCGTATGAAAGACACGTTCGACGTCGCAGGATTCGTCCTTGGTTCTTCCAGAAGGTGATTGACCAACGAAGGGGTCGAGGTGAGACTGCACTTTGTCTTGGTGCCGTTGACAAAAAAGAGAGAATTGAAGAGAGAGAAGAGAGAGAAAAGAGGCCTCACATGATATCACCATCAGCATACTAAGATCCATAGAGATATCGGCGGCAATTGTGTCAACAAAGATGTCCACCGGGCAACACGTTTTTCACTTAAAACATTCCTTGTTTGGGATCGCGGCACACTTTCAGGCAGAGGCAACATCCTTTTCCAGTCCAAGGAAGATCCTCTTATGCAGGCCAGATACTGGATGAACCTCAATATTCATCAAGGCTTGATGAACACTCCGACATGTCGCCATGTTCACTGGCGATACAGTTACTCTCCTTGACATGGCTCAAGCTGACAACTCGTTGCCACAGACGTAGCCCACCACCCGCCATGGCGTCCGATGGAGAATGGGAGATGGTTGCAGAGAAGCAGGTGGAGAGCCCTCCAGAGGTCTATGATCACATCGAAAGCAATTCCTTGAAGGCTGCCTCAGTACAGGTAAACGAGAAGACCTTGTTTTACTGCTTGCAGCCCAAGGAAGCTTTGCCGAAGGAAGCGGCCCGGCTTTGCTCCTCCAACCTCAGTATCAGGTGCAACACTTGCATCAAGCGCATCCCAATCTTCGCACAGCTCGTGGGCTCTGAGGGGGAACATGTCTACCTCAAGGAGGAGTTGGATGATGCGAACGTGAAGGCGCTTCGATCAATGCGTAACAAGATCAAGAGCAGCGATCCTGCTGACTACCATTTGGTGCTGATTGATGATGAGTTCTTCCAGGCCAATCCTAAGGAGGTGGGCCCCTTCTGCCATGTACACTTCTTGAAGGAACAGGTCTCCGATGCCCAGCTCAGTGAGAGGATCAAGAAGCTGAAGAATTACCTCAATGGTAGCTTTGAGAATCGTTTCCAAAGATTGGTCGATGATCCCAATTCCTTGAAGGTGATCCTCGATGTCTTGCCCGAACTGGTGCGGCCAGATCACTGGAGGGGTGTGGTGACCTGGGCGGTGAACCTCTCAGGTGTTGCAGAGGGTCGAAAGTGGCAAGACATGGCTGTACATGAGAAGTTTCAGGTCATGGTCTATGCCATGCTCACCGGACGTGCAAGTGATTCGATCCATTTGGACATGCAGCAGGCGGGTAACTTGGTGGACTTCATGGACAGTGCCGAGAGCCGCGAAGCCTTGAAGGCCATGATGGATGACCGAAGCAACCCAGAGACCTACCAAGTCTCCCGCGTCGCAGATCGGCTGCGTGAGAATCGTGTGTCCTCCCTTTGTACAGTGACGCTCATGTGGGGCTTGGATGGAGCCCCTCACCAGTCAGACCTGGACATACACACTGTGGTGAATGGCATTGAGCTCTTCTATGGCAACCCACAGGTGGGGAAGTGCAAGCTGGACTTTGATGCCAACGCCTCCAGGATAGAGCAGAATCCTGCGGAGAACATCTCCTTGAACCAAGTGGGAACTTTTGTGATCATGGTGAACAACTACAACAACCGTGACAACAAGGATGTTCCCTTCAAGGTCACTGTCAGGAAGTCTGGCCAAGAGGTGGCGGAGCATGAGGGCACTTGGCCACGGACGCGCGCCAAGGGCAACAAGATGACGGTGTGTCAGGTCACGGTGCTAGCAGAAGACCTGGTGGAGAAGCCAGTTGAGCTGTCGGAGGCAGAGCAGAAGAAGTTGGCAGCCAAGGAGGCAGAATGGTCTAAGCTCTTCGGAGAACCAAGGGCTTTATTGGCTTCAGAGACTGACGTTGACATGCATCTGGTGAGCCGTTCGAATGGTTACCCTGCAACACAGGGAGCACAGCAGCGCTTTCAGGAGTTACTCCAACCAAAGGCGAAGAAGCAAAGCCTGGCGGAGCGCTGTAAGGCTGAAGAATTGGACGGCTTCATTGAGCGCGTGACCTCCAAGGGCTTCCCTTGTCGGCTGGAAGTCGATATCCGAAACTTCGCTCCTGCCTACATCACGCGCTTGGAAACCGCTAGCGATGTTCTCAAGAGCAACATTGTGGTGAACGTCTTCCAGCGAAAGTTTGAGGTGCCGCAGGCACCCCGGAGCGATGAGCCCAGCAGCGCTCGGTTGGATGCCAGCTGGGGCCTGCAGCCACGGGCATTGGTGCGAGGCTTTGTGAAGGTCCATGCCCAGTGGTTCATGGTGTTGGAGAATGCACGTCTTCCAGCCCATCAGGAGTGGCCCTTAGCAGGCGGGATGTATCCCACCAATCTGAAGCCCGAAGTGCACCATCATCGTAGCAAGTGGGCAAGCTTCCATTCCTTGGTGCAACCAGAGGTGTCAAGGGCATCGTCTCTCATTGGATCCATGTTGGTGGGATTCTCGAAGTTCCACTTTGTCCTGGACGGCAAGCAGGTCACGGTCAGCGCGAACACCGGCAGTGTGGCACAGTAAGCGTGGCAAAGTGACGAGAATGAAATTCACTAGTCACTAGGCCCCGGGCTGGGGGCTGTTGTTTTTTTAGTTTGTGTTGGTCATATTATGTTCTTGCATGTTCTTGCCACTTGCATCCAGCATCATCCAGCTAGTTTCCCTAACTGCTTCCTGTCCCCTTGGCCTTGGGCTATTTTGACTGAAGCCAGTTAGAAGAAATCAAGAATCGGCCCGCATTTGCCACCAACAGCGTGTGCAGTGTACAGAGCGGCAGATCGGGTTGACAGTTTCGAGTGCACTGAAGGTCTTCAAAAAGAAAGCTGGAAAGAAAGGGCGACTAAATTTCTTCGGAAATCCGCTTTCTGCAAACAGCCGCTCTAAGTACTTTAGGACGCTCCTAGAAGCTCCTGGCCGCACTAGGAACAAGAAGCTATGAACGGGGCTCCTGGCCTCGCTACGAACGGAGCGATCGGACGCTACTATATAACAAGTGCATCGCTAGTAGTAACAAGTGCCACACTACTAGGAACAAGTGCCTTACTAGTAGTAACAAGAAGCTACTAGGGGCTCCTGGCATCGCTACTAGGAGCAAGGACGCTAGTAGCTCTGGGCTGGCCGGAACGAGCCTTTGAGACGTCGAGCTTCGCAGGCTGGGAAGCTCCTGGGACCAGTGCGACCCAGGCTGGGACCACGAGAGAAAGAAGCGGAGATGAAGTCAAACTGAGTCAAACACAACACAACAGACGGTTCCCACATTCACATTCCATGCGAGCAAGCTGGAAATTCTTTGTTTGTAGTGAGGAAGGAAAACCATCCAAAAGGTAGAAATGGTAAGCAACGCAAAGGAAAAAAACAGACAACACATGTCAATGTGTGAAAACATGTGTCAAATAGAAACACACACACAGAGACACAAACAAGTTGTCCCGAGAACTGAATCTTGTTGGGTAGGCAAGGCTGAGGCCTAAAAGCCCTAAAACGTTGAGTCCACACTGAAGTCACGTTTGAAAGCACATTTAGCCGAGCCTGGATGCCCACGATGCAACATCCAATGAATTCTTGAATATAATTGTGTTTACTTAATGTCTAGGAGGCCATCGGTATTAGGTTGGAGGCCATTACCATTAGGTTAGAGGCCATCGCTACTAGAATTTTATTAGGAATTTAGATGAATTTAGTTAAATTATGTTCCTTTCAATTTTTGCATGTGTTCAAGGACATACTCGTTCTCCCATGGCTCTCCCACCAGCACCGATTGTCCATTGAAGTGGAAACGTTGTGTGGCGCTCTCAGATACCTGTTGCATGCCACCTACTGGGAGAACGTTGCCGGCATCCTGACAGAAGGCGCGTCTCATGAAGATGGATCCGGGTTCTTTTTGAATGTTGACTGTAGCTTCTTGCTCCTAGTAGTAAGGCCACGAGTGCCTAGTAGTGTCCTTGCTCCTAGTAGCGATGCCCTTTGCTCCTAGTAGCTTCTTGCTCCTAGTAGGTCCAGGTGGCACACGTGTTTTCAGTTGGACCGATTGTATGAACAAAGCGGGCTTGCAACGGCAGGTATCGTTCCAGCGAAGAATCCATTGTCTGATATCAGCAACTTGGCACTTTTCATTCCGTGCAGGTCTGTCTTGAGCATTGGGAGGGGAGGGGGGGATCTTTTGCATTGGACTGGCTTGAGCACATGTTGTGTATGAAAACAAATTGTGTGGAGCAAGGGGCATGCATAGTCATATGTCATCACCTTGTGTGGGATAAATGGCCACTTGAAATGGGATGATTTGAAATTCGTCGCCTAGAAGGGGACCAAACATGAAACGGGAGTGAAACCGGAGTCTGTCACTGCGCCCAGGAAAGCCCTTTAAGGATTTGTTGCAGGGCGCCGAGCCTGGATCTGAGAAATGACCGCGCAATGTCGCTAGCGCAATGTCGCTAACGCTGAGCGCATCCAGAATGTTTTTATGTGTGTGTGTGTGACCGACCGGTTTGGTTGCTAATATGCTAGAATATGCTAGATTGGTTTAGAGCTATGGTGCTAACCAGAAGAATCTACACTGCTGAAGGTACTCCAAGAAATATTTTTGAACCGACGAGACGAGATGCCAGATGCAATGTCAGTGTACCTTGTTGTGGTTGAACTCCGCCCCAACTGCTCCCAACATGTCGCTAGAAGTTCTGGGATTGGCTCACTGTTCACTGAGTTGTCGAGGTCTCATGTCTACACCATGCGTGACTCTTCCCACGTTTGAGCAGGGTAACGGTTGAGGCAAAGCTTCAGATCGCTGAGCAATGGAGCAAGAGTCCAAATAAGATGTCCAGATGTCCAGAGTGCCACCTTTGGAGGTTTTTTTGGTGCATCCAGATGTGAAAATAATAGGGATTCCGCTTAGGTGCTATTTAACAATTATGCTATTTCATGGTATAGATTGCTATAAGCTGCTATAAGTATGCATACGGATGTATTGAAGTGCTACAACCTACATCATATGAATATGGCTATACTAAGGAACAAGAAGCCACTAGTAAGAAGGGCATCGCTACTGGGAACAAGGACGCTACTAGGGGCTCCTGGCCTTACTACTAGGAGCAAGAAGGCTACGAACGGAGCAAAGGGCATCGCTACGAACGGAGCAAAATCGCCTCGAGCCAGGCAGCACCGACCTCGGGTGCCTTGAGTCGAAGGTGCGACGGGACGAGCATCTCAACGACGTCTCGACCGGAAGTACTGACCGGTACTGTCCATGGACTGGATGAGTGATGATGAGTGGATATGAGACCGGTAGATGCATTTCATTTCCGGTGCAGAGTCCGGTGCATTTCGGTATTTTTTGAAACATGATTTCAATCATGTTCAAAAAGCAACGACATGAACTGTTTGCTTGCACAAGTGCACTAGAGCTTGATCAACGCAAAGCCCCTTCAATCCGCCACTCACCACACTAAGGAAATCTGGATTCTATTGACTGCTTTTGGAACCAATCAAACGAAGAAACTAATCAAATGGGGTTTTGGACAATCTTGTGTCACTTGAGATTTCAAGACTTGATCATGCTCACGCTGAAAGTATGCATCTGGGCTCGAAGGACGGTGCAAAACGGTGAATTGGCATGGCATGGCATGGGAGTCATCCATGACGATTTCATCGAAGTCACTTCGGATGGCTTGAGCATTCCATGAATCATGATTCATGATTCCATGAACTAAAGAATCTTGAAAGGGCAGTGCCAGGAAGACGGCCATGGCGCCTCAATTGGTGTCCTTGGAGGAGCACACGCTGGTGTGTCGATATGTATCCACTGTGTGGCAACTCTGAAGGGATGCCCTTTGTTCCTAGTAGCGATGCCAGGAGCCCCTAGTAGCGTCCTTGCTCCTAATAGCGATGGCCTTTGCTCCTAGTAGGTCTTGCAGGTCGGTGACGATCCTTTGGACAATGCAACGGTGAAACCGGTAAGATGATCAGATGGCTATCTCGGGGTGTCATTGCACACTTTGCAGGTACAACAATTGGTTCCGAACAAAGGTTAGACATTTGCATAGCACTTGCACAGCACTTGTGTTACCTGCATGCTCCTGTATGATCGCTGACACTTCCCTGTTCACCGGCCCACCAACGGGCAACACGGTGACACATACAGCGGCACAGGAGGCTCGAGCGCTGGGCCTCGGTGTGGCGAAGAGCACCAGCGCAGCCTCGGAGTTCGAAACCGAACGGGAAGGGCTGAAGGCTTTCGGCGTGGAGCTATCGAAGGAGAGAAGTCCATTTCAAGTCGAGTCCAAAAAAACGACACAAAAAAGCGACTTTCCATTGACATAAACATAGTTCCAAGGAGAACATGTCAAACGCATTCAAAAGCGCAGTACATTTTCTGATGTTCTTTTTGCACAGAGATGTAGGGTAAGTCTGCAGAGCTAGTAAATGAAGAGCCATGCTTTCCTGTGTTCTTTTTGGAGGACAAGCATATCAACATCCACAAACCCTTTTGAAGCGGAAAGAAGCTCTGAAATTTATCATGCTCTTTTGTCCCAGTGTAGCAGGACCACTTGGAAGGCTACAAGTACAAGTTGGGCTCCAAAGTCGAACGAGACCTGAACTTGGTGAAGCGTCCGTGGGAGGTCCCGATCATTGACCAGCTGGGTCCAGAAACAGTGCCTTGTAAAAACGGGGGAAAGAGCAGGTAGGAGGCAAGGCTGCGGCGACGAGGTCAATATTTTGATTCTTTTGAAATTATAGTTTGTGAAATAATCCCAGGTCACCAGCTAGGTCATGAAGGCTGTTCCAATTTGTAGGCTGGCAATGAAAGCAGTAGAGTTGGGTTGCAGTTTCGGTTCCTTGCCATTGTTTGTCTTTCGAAAAGATGAACGGCACCAGTAGAATTTGGTTGTGCAGTTCGGCAGAATCGATCACTACATTCCATAGAAGGCCAACCAACAACGTGTTTCCTTATGGGATGCCTGGCTAAACTTCAAAGAATAATCTGCATCAACGACAGTTTGCCGCTGTGCGTTGACAACATGTGTTTTTGCACAGCTAGTTGAATCGGACAGTTTCACTGGGCAAAAAGGCTGACACGAAAGAGCTGTGTGATGTTCATCTCGGGTCTGTGTCTTTCACTGTCCGCTGTGCGTCGTGAGGTGAGCAAGAACAAAGATGTCGAGACCTGGGATAATCCCGAGTTCCTCCTGGAGATTCGAGAGGGCATCGCCTACTGCACGCTGAATCGACCTGATGCCAATAATGCGATGAACGATGGTGCCTGAGTTTGAACGAACGTGCAATCCTTTTCAAGTCGTAAAAAGACGGTTCCACCAAGCCATCAAGCAAACGTGTGCTTGATTTGGGAGTCTCACTTTCTACCAAAAAATTGTAAATTACAATACTAGGCATCTTTTTGTGCTTGTTTGGCTGATCAGCTCACCGAAAGAGCTAGATCCCTTGGCTTTCAAGGAGAATGCCAGATGTCCCAGCACCGTATGGCAAGAAGACGACTACGTTCTTTTGATGTCCATGACTTCACATATTCACAAACAATCAGTTGAAGACAATACTATACTGTTCACAGAATTTCACAGTGGTGGTAGCTGTTGAACCTCTTACAAATTCATTCTAGGTACACCCTTGAACCCTCATGAACCCATACTATTTCTTACTCAAACCGCCACTACACACAAGTCAAACCTCTGGCCCATTTGTGTTGAGACTCTTCATGCAGGCATTGGTGGAGGCCTCCACGATGCACTTCGAATCCTTCGAGAGCGACCAGAAATTCGGATTGCTGTGTTCACCGGCAACGGACGAATGCCGCTTGGAGGAGTTGCAATTGAGGTTTTGTAGTTCGACACATGCCCCCCTTCACAAGATAGTTCTTTGGGTTCTGCGCTCACCAAAAAGATCGGACAAGTTGTAGGGTGAGCATATGTGAGCATAGTCAGAATTATAGTCAATATCAGGTCCAGGTATGTCAATATTTATTTCAATATGTCTAAACATGTCCGAGTCTGAGTCTGAGAGCTGGTATGGACCGTGGCTATGAGGTTCTGTGCTGGAGGTGATCCAAAATCCTTCCAGGCTGCACAAAAGATGGCCGGTGCCATCAGCGGCGATGGTGACAAGTACCAGGGGCCTCCAGCAGGCCCTATGATTGCCGGCACTGGGACGATGATCGTAGAGGGCAATAAGATGTCAGCCCAAGGCTTTGCAAGGGCTACTTGCAGTAACTTCAGACATTTTCAGTGTTTTTCAGGGGTCAAATGGAGTCAAAGGATCGAACCGGAATCGTACACATCACAGAATTTTGGCCGGACAGGTCATGTTTGTCAGCACTGTTCACAGAGGCTTTCTCCTTGTGTCCAGCAAATCTAAGGATATGTATTCCATGTCGAGCTTGCCCCAATTTACAATTTGTTTGATGAACGGGTCCGCTATGGGTGGTGGATTCGGATTAGTATGTGCTTGCGACTATGTCATTGCCACCAAGCAAGCCCATGCGACCTTGTCGGAAGTGAAGCTAGGCGTGATTCCGGCAGTGATTTCCCCACATGTGAGCAGGACCATTGGCACAGCCAATTGCAACTTGGAAAGAAAAGCTAGCACGTTCTATATGTTCGTATCATATGTTATTATATAAGTGCTTCAAAATGTGACTTGGAAGGCAAACGGCTCTTTTGCACGGCCGAGAACGCCAACATGCAAACGGCCATGGAGATTGGATTGGTGCACAAGATCGTCGACCATCCGAGAGACTTCCAGGCAGCGGTCAGAGAGGTGGCCACGAAGATCCAGCTGTTGGCGCCTGGAGCCGTTGGAGCCACCAAGCAGGTTCTCTTAGATTGCTTAAATCAGCCCATCAGCAACAGCTTGATTGAAGCTCGCTTGTTGAACACCCTCTTTTTTCTGTGTAGGCCGAGAGTAGAGGTAGGTAGTTAGTAGCCAGGTAGCTAGTAGCTTACTCAAGCTACTAGTATGGACGCAGGATAGCTCACGCTTGGTTCCTAGACTTTTGGGGAAACTTAACTAATAGGTGGGAACTCACGGGTATTCAAGCCCACAGCAGAAGGCTTTTGACTGGCAACCCACTCCAATGGTGGTAGTTGGTAGTTCCTGTGACATGCTCAATGAAGAAATGCTATCAGCTCTGGCTTTCCTTTGTGCTGAGATAGGATGCATGACCCGGGATACACCATGTGTTACGCCTATAGTCTGGAGCACAAGAATCACTGAGGAATATACAGCCAAAGAGTATTTGCGTGTTCGCAGGGGCAAAGAGTGCGAGGAAGGTATGGAGGCTTACAAAAACAAGCAGCGGCCACCTTGGGTCCAAAAGGTAATCGATGTCAAGGAGAGTGAGGAGAGCTGAAGGGAAGCTTGTGGCCAACCATGTGGCCTGTTTGGGGGCCAGCAGGGTGGGGCCGTCACGGATAATTGAAGCAGAAGAGAAGTGCATGGCCCGTAGATCCAAAGAAGAGCTGCGATTCATTCGATGATGCGAAACAAACCATGCGAGTCTCATTACTGTAGTCGGCCCCACCCAGCAGTCTTCCTGTCCAAACTTGCTGGCAAAGACAAGAGCCTGAAAAAGATGTGCGGACCTTGCTTCTAACATTTCTGAGGCATTTCCTATAGGAGATGTTTCAATCTGAGACCCTTCCCAGATGGGACGCGGACGGATAGTGTTCACTTCCGGAATCCTCTTCTAAGCTTAACGGCATCGTGCAAGCCAGGTTGTGCCGCAGAGTGAGGCTGGTGACGCAGTGGGGAACTGCTCTCGAAGATGGATCATATTGGGAGAAATGGGTCATAGTGGGAAGCTGGATCCAGGGACAAATCTGTAGCTCGTGGAAAATGAGACAAAGGCCTTCTTTGGAAAACGATCGACGTTCTTTGCAAAGGGAAAGGCATCATTTCTCTATTGTTTCACTTTCTGGCGCAAATCCGGTCCAGCTCAACGAACTTCAGATTCAGATTTCCGATGCTAGTGGTTCACATCCTCTCGTTTGCAGCATGTTTGCAGCATTAGAAGGATTGTTTATGAAGAATGATATAGTATGAAACCTTTTTGTTCAATTAACCGGCGTAGAACATGGGTATGTTGACAAGGAATAGGAGGGTGCAAGGTCCTCACTAAAGTGGTGTCAAACTGCTCAGCGACGTCACTAGGTGGTAAGCTTCATAGAACCTAATAATCCTAATAGCGATGGCCTCCAACCCAATAGCGATGGCATCCAGGTGGTAAGCTTCATAGTGGACAAGGAGCAAGTCGGCCTCGATCGACAACCTGATGCCATTTTCGACACTCGCCTGCAACAGCAGCTGTTCAACAGCTCTTCATTCCAAACTTCCCACCTAACTGGGGAGTGTAAGGCCATTGCGATGCAAGGGTTTGCTCGCAAATTAAATGCTTTCACCACAGTTCGCAGGTGTTCTGCGCATTTGAAGGAGAGTCTTATTTGGATTTATTTGGAGCCTGGAGTGCTCTTACTTGCCAACATACACGTGCTGACTAGCCAAACGGCGATGTGTAGAAAAGCATCAAAGCCCTTGGCATCCACACGCAGCATAGTTGACAGCAATCAACATGTCACAAGAAGCCCCTGAACATCAAGACTTGATTTTCAGGTATGCTGAACATAGGTGTCCAAACATGTTAGTACAACGCAGCTCATGTCCCAAATATGAGTCAAGGGCCAAGCAAATGTTTCTTCCTGGGCAAATGCTTGCAAGAAGGCCACTGTTGCATATGCATAATGCATAGCCGCATAGCCAAGGTCATTGATACCAGCAAAGCCGAGAAGATGGGAATCGATCTTGAGATGGCTGATGCCTCAGTTCTTATCGCCCTTTGTATCTACCGCAGCCTTTCCTCCTTCCTTATGACCTGTTGATGTTCTCTATGCATTTTCAGGGGTCACTTCAGGATCCAACTTGTGGCACTGAATGACACAGCCAATCAAACGCTATGGATGCAAGAGAGAAAACGAATATAACAGAGAGCGCGGTAGAGAGAGCGGATTCTCAAGCAAGATGTCTCGTCCAAAGGTCCAATCAGGTGATGACCGTGAGGACAATATCTATGTCCGAGGCGAATCCGAAATTGTGATCGTTGTTCATTGACGGCAGAATCGATTTCACCCGAATTGAAATCGACCTGGAGAGCTAAACAGCAATCTCTCGTCTCTATGCAAACCTGAAGTGAATCGAGATCTTCTGGTCAGTGATCCAGCTGAAACAACCCAAACCAGAGATGTTCCCTTGTTTTCGGATGGAGACGGTTCTGGCAAAAACGAAGCTTTTTGTTGCGCCAGCAACGCTTTCTCGGCGAGGCCGGATCCCTGCCGAGATCCTGACAGCTCAGCCGAACATACCGAGGAATTTGCCAGACACACTCAAGGCTTGGGGACTGGAATTATATGGATGGTGATGTTGGTACTAGTAGCGTCCTTGCTCAAGGTGCGAGTAAATGTGTGCAAGTTATGGCAAGTTTACTCAGCTGAGAAAGATGACCCCACGAGATTGAACTGGAATAAACTAGTAGTAACAGGTGCCTTACTAGTAGTAACAAGAAGCTACTAG